TGCATGTAGTTGAGGCAATGCTCCCTAGATAAGTGGTGAATGAAGTAACCTCTTTCGAATCCCTCCCGTTGATGGTGATTGTCGCTGGATGTTGCTGTTGCTGTTGTTGTTGATTGGTTATTTTCATAACCTCCGTCTTTTCTGTGTTCACTTGGAGTCCTGTCCCCACTGGCTGCTTCTTCGACCAGTTTGTCAGTTTTCGCTTGTAATTCTTCGATTTTGTGACAGTGACATCAAACATAAATCATCCACGCGCGAAATCCAGGTGTTCCAGGTTCTTTACGTCGGTGCACTCCGATTGTAACCGATTGTAACTATTTTTTCGACATACGGGGTAGTGTTCCAATGTGCGTAAAATCTGTTCAATGTGATAGTATGTAAATCCATAATAATCTGATTACTGAGTATGTCAAACAATGAAATGCAGTGGATGATGTTTCAAACACAATTTGTCTCTTATAATCTTTTCACTTCTAACTATATAAATTCAAAACTTGATTTTTATATAGTTTATTTTCCTCCTTTCTGTATGTTTTAAGGACACTACAATTTTAAGGATGTCAAGGATAGGTGCTAAATCGTTCCTGTTGCATCTGTTTTCAGTTAATTCATTAAGTAAAACTTCAGTTATAAATTTCTTCCATTATCCTGTTATATTAAAATTTTAAGGCTGTCACGTTGTCCCATCCGATTGTATGGTTATATATAACTGCGTATTTATGATATAGCTGGGCATATTTCTAGCTTTCTTCTAATAATTAGGGTTATCTAATGCGAATTTTGCAAGGTCTTCATCCTCTATCAATCTAATTAACCCTGTCTGACTAATTTCGTCAATGTATTTGACCAAACAACCATTTTAATGTACTGAATGAAACTATATTATCATGTTTGTTGAGCTTCATTGAATCTTTTAGCCGACATAATGTACTTCTAAGTGAGTCTGTGAATTTCACTGCCACTTCTCTTCTTGTTTTGCTAAGAAGTCTTTGTAAGGTTTCAGAACTTACCAGTTTAGATGGAAATAATACTACTATTAAAAATTCGATATCATTGGTGTTGCCATCTTTCTATGTATTTTTGTCATTCTTTTGCGATCCGAGTAGAACTTTGGATTTCAAACTTGAGCTATGAAGTTGCAGTAGCAGTTGGCTTTTTATTTCTTTGGAGTGGTTTCGCCAGCCACACACCCAAACTTCTTTCGTCACAAGGCTTAATAGCGACTGAGAGAGGATTTGGAATGCGTTAGCTGAGGATTGAACCTTGAACCACATACACAGTTGGTGAGCATTCTACAAGCCCATCACCGAGCCGCTAACTAACTTTAATACATGCAGCTAAAATCGATTTACCTTCAAATATTTTGAATCTCATGTTGATGAAAAATTTTCTAGAACTTTGAAAATATAACATTTGGCTTTAAAAGTCTGTATAATCCATTAAGTATAACTAAAACGAACTTATTTCTCTTCTTGGAGATTATATTCAGAAAATCTGAAGCAATTTTTGACTGACTTTTACTCTACACGTACAACTACAATCTCCATGACAAAAACCAAGCTTTTGTAATTACGAATAATACCTATATCATTATAACTTGATTCAAATAGGATATTAATGGAAATAAAATACGTAGATCAGCGAAGAGTCTCTTTTCAGCGAATTCATTTTCTCAGCTGTACAATCGCAAATACATATGTGTTATTTTGTATATATATGTACATTAAGTTTGTCAAACAAAATTACAATTGGTTATAGTTATTTTAACTAAACAGGTGAAGATTGGTAATACAAGTCAAGAGAATTAGGTGTTAATGAAACTAGGGAAGTAACAAAGGTGATGAGTTGTCACAAACAGAGCTACAGCGATACAAAGGAGACGAAACAGTATTGCCTTTGATAGGTTATTCTTGACTCTGTAGATTACTTTGAAGGGGGCGTTTGTTGAAATGCAATGATCAGTGTTAACCAAGTGTTCACTTATCGCACTCCTTATTGCACCACTATTTCTTTTTCACAACCATGCTGGATGGTAGTCTTGAATCCTCCTGGATAGGATGCGCATCGAACGACCGATTTATACGGCTCTACAGCAACAGGTGAACTGATATTTGCACATAGAAGTGATCAGATGCGGGATCTTGTCCTTGAGGCTTCTGTAGATCAGTGAGCGACTGGAGAAGACAATTCTTAGCGTTGCTGCAAAGAATGTTCTTGTCAGAGATGATGAAAATCGCTTGTTAAATCTCCCTTGAAATCCCAGTTCATGTAGAGCTTCTTTTAAGGCGCTATTAAAGTTCCGTTTCTCCGAATTATTGGTTTGGTATTTTAATCGATGAATCTTATTGGGTATCCATTTTGGATGAAGATTTCTTTTAGAATATCTAATTCACTTTCCATAACAACGGGACTACAGATCCTTTGGATGCGGGTGGCAAGTGATTTAATTCAATTCCGCTTTTGTTGAATGGGTACCCATCTACAGAAGCTTGTTAGCTGACCATTCCACGTAGGTTTTCTATGGATCGATCTTCTTAGGCTCCCATCAGTTCTTCTTGTTAGTTCTACATCAAGAAACGGAATTTTTGACTCGTTTCCATTTCAAGAGTAAATTTTATTGCTGGATGGCAACAGTTAAATGTCTTCAGAGGCAGATTGGGGTCGTTGTTTTTGTCACAAATAATGAAAATATCGTCCACGTATCTTTTATACAGTCGCAAATTGTCAATGCTTGGCTTTAGTGGACCTCTCTCGAGGCTTGTCACGAAGCAAACTGATAGTAGTGGACCCAACGAAGATCCCATTGCAATATCATCTTTTCGTCTGCAGATGGTGTCGTCGAATGTGCACCTCAATAATAATTCTGTTAAATATGCTGTTGGTATTCCAATATTGAGATGGCTGTCATCTATATATCTGCATACGGAGCAGACCGTTTCCGTGAGTGGGACATTGGTGAGAAGTGACTAAATGTCGATACATTCATGTCTTTTATGCAGTCGATGCAATGGAAGGTGTAACGGAGCGAGTGCGTACATAATTGTTTCCTTATAGGTTCCAGAATATCTGCGAGCCATTTTGCAATAGAGTGGTAAGGGAAACCTGACATGTCCAGAATTGGACGAAGTGGAAGATTGATTTGATTTGAATTTTTTTTGATGACTTCATTTCTTTTTTTTGCCTGTTCTTTAATTACTTATAATTCTTGTATTAATTTAGAACTCTTACGTAATTTCGTATTATCCACTTTGTTTCTATGTGCATCCTGAGTAAAACTCACTCATCAAACTATTCATATTATTACATAACTTCTTTTAACAACTGTTTGTGACAACTCATCACCTTTGTTACTTCCCTAGTTTCATTAACACCTAATTCTCTTGACTTGTATTACCAATCTTCACCTGTTTAGTTAAAATAACTATAACCAATTGTAATTTTGTTTGACAAACTTAATGTACATATATATACAAAATAACACATATGTATTTGCGATTGTACAGCTGAGAAAATGAATTCGCTGAAAAGAGACTCTTCGCTGATCTACGCGTTTTATTTCTGTTAACGCCTGGATAGGGATTATCCATGAATCAAATAGCATATCACCACATGAATAATAAAAGAAACCGAATGATGGAGATCTCAAAAACTCAAGCAGCCACATAGTTCAAAAATCCACTAATATATGTCACTAATTATAGTTATACTGACTGATGTAAACTTAGCAGTTAACTGTCTTTGCAGCCGCCTAACAAATTGCTTTCTGTGGTGCATTAACTTAATTGACTATAGAATTAAATTAAGCGATATAACTGAAAGGATATAACTTACAATCATGTTCCAATGTGTCAGTCATCCACTAGTAGAATGCTAATCTGCCAAGTGGGAGGTAGGAGGCGTCAGATACAACACACAAGACGAAACACTCATCAACCTGGCTCACCTCACTTGTCGACAATAAGCGCAGAAAAGAGCATTAGGTTCAAGCATGAGGCTAGTAATTCAACCTTGTAGAACAACTTAATCACAACTGAAACATCAAATCCGAGACCCAACATTCTACTCCAATTGCTAAAAAATGAAAAAAATGTTCAAAGCCACTTTTTAAATAACACTTACATTACTGCGTGATTCGTCTGTGATTTTTTAATCTACTTGCAAAACTAATAATGAACACCGTATGTCGGCCTAATGGGTAATTGTGTTAATCTGATTATTTGTTTTAAACCACCATGGAGATTAATATAACCTAAAAAGGTTTTTGGCTGATGCATCAAATACCTTTATGACTAAAAATAGAATAACTGTAGAGATTATTTGGTTATTTTTTATTCTATTCTATTTATCATTTTGTCTGTAGAACATATACTCACAACTCAAGGTGTTTGTTGTTTTGATACACCAACGATTGATCATAAGTCTTCAGAGTTACCAGAAAGTGTCAGGGTCAGATATCTGTCAGTTTTCTCGATGAGAAACTGAAAAAAACTCAGTCCTGTTGTTTGAAATTTCATTGTCATGTTACTTATACTACAAACTTGATAGTGTGCAGTGCTGATGGAAGTCTTTTGAATCGCTGGGTAGATTTGCTTACTTTGCTTTTAGTTTTTTGCTATTAAATCACGAAAACTGATTAACTCCCACTTTATTAAGTAGTGCCTAATTAGTTCAAAAGTCACACAGCAAAAGAAAAAAACTTCATTACCACTGTTCACCTTATGTTCTTATGATGAATCATTATACCAGTTGAAAAATACGTTTCTGATGCCGCTAGAAGGAGGGATGATCACAATCTGAAATAAGTCCAATAAAGTACTACGTTTTATTACATATCAACACGTGTTGTTGTTAAGAGATTTTTTCCATATCGTCTATATACGCTCTACTGAAAACTGATGAGAGACACAGAAAGCAATGTTATAACCCTAGAAATGTCTCTTCAAAACCGTTTTCTTTTAATAATTTGTGTCTCTAATCTTATTATTTTTATTGCCTTTCAGGAGAATGCATTAAATTCTCGAAATCGTATGCAAGTGCTAACTACTCTCATGAAAGAATATAATGCCCATTCCCAATTAGGCCAGTCTATGCAATCCAAGTTATCACTATGCAAATTGGCCTGTTTGTTTAATCCATTCCGTGATGCTCAGACAGATAAAGTGGTCTCTCCAGTGCATCATCATAATTTGACGGAGGATGAAATACATTCTGATGAAATGGGCTCTCCAAAACGAGAAGCGGTAGGTTTCGAATATTTCAGTACAGAATGTGATATATATATATATATATATATATATATATATATGGCGTTGCATTTAGCTTCTAACAAGCGACATCAAGTTGATTTTGTTTGCATAATATCTTATCTAGATGTTTGTGTGTTACAAACACTTAACTTTTTCGTAACTCTAGAACATAGAACACAATAAGGATTTTAGAATGCTTTTGTAACTAGGGAGTATAAAAGTTGTAAATGAATTCAAATGCTTCTATTTACCAGGATACAGTTAAGTAGCTTATGTTGAAGCATTCCCTGCTGTAATTATCAAATTAAAAAGCAAACTATTAGGATACGTTATAGATAAACGTAAGCGTCGGTGGCACAGAGGTTAGGACGCTCGCCGACCATGCACAAGGTTCCGGTTTGATCCCCGGTCGACGCACTCCTTTACCTCGCTAAACCAGAGATAATGCTGGTAAAGGGGAAAGGTTGGTCGTGAGGCTAGCAACCCCATCCTGTAAAAGGAATCCCCACTGCTACAGAAACTTCAAGCCTCTAGCTTGAAGCCCTATGTTCCACTGGAACGGGAAGGAAATAAAAAAAAATAGATATATACAGTTGCCGAAGTGAAAGGTCAATATGATGAAGGTCACTCACCAACTTTTTCTCATCGCATAGAAGAGGAATTTACGTTTTTTGAAACTAAACTTAACTGCATACACGTTAACTGGACATATTACCCATACAGCACTCAAATCATGTCAGGATAAAACACAAAAGTATCTTCATGTTCGTTACTCTCCAGTTATTTTCCATCTTGAGTGATTCCATGATAAAATTAAAACTGATGAAGGAGATACGTTTGATAATAATGACAGAAATTAAGGATCTTATTTCACTGATGTAGTTCATTTTCCCTAAATTTAAAAGAAGCTTCACAGATTTAAGATACTACTACATTGTAAAAAAGTAGGCTGGTCATGTCAGAATTGCATTGTAGGTAATTTTATAGAATCTCACATTAATTTCATATATTTTATTCTATTTGACTACTTTATGAACACCTTTTCAAAGAATAAAGTAGCGGAAACAAAAGACGGTTCAATTCCTGAACAAACAATCTCCAATCAGTCATCACCAGCAAAATCTGCTACATTTCAGGATCATAAACACCACACAGATCAAGATAGTTATGGAATTCTTAAAAATAGAGCAAAAATAAAGGCGAATCGAATCACAGGATTGCGTACAAATTTCATTACAGAAATTCTTTTTGCATTGTACCCAGTTCTTTTTACACAACAATCAAATGTAGCTTATGAAGCAGTTAAATCAATCGAAGTCAGAGCAACCTATGAACTCTGGACAAATGTAAGTAAAGCTCTCACCAATTACTTACTTAACTATTTAGTTAATGCATTCGTATGAAGTTAATAGTTTATTCCTTGAACATTTATTTCTAACTAAAAATAAGGTGTAGTATACCAATAAATGTACTCAAGTTGGTAAATAAGTGTACCCAACTAATGAAGATAATTTACTGTGATTAGATGCTGATAAACGGGTATTCAAATGGATAAAATGTAGGTAGTTTCATCACCTTTTAACTTATTGTTACTACTTTCAGGACAGAATAGAATCATTAGATATGTTAGATTTTGACTGATTGGAATCATGCAACTAAACTCAACAGCTAAAGCTGCTTTAATGTTACCACTCCCTAAAGTGTGATTGACCATTTTCATTATTCATTATAGTATTTATTTATGAATTTTCCACCTGTTCTATTATTGAGAAAAGTAAAACATCCTGTTGTATAACGCAGTCCGAAAAATTGGATGTATATGTCATTCTAAAATATACTAATCTTTGAAAATCTTTTTTCTATCATTTCATGTTCTTTATTATGGAATTATGACAACAGAATAGCATGTCAAGCAAATATGAACATGATGACTGAAAAAAACAGGTTTTAGCTGTACATAAAGCAATGTCAGAAAAAATTGGTTTCTGGACATACTTTTACATTAATTATTGTTTTAGAAATATTCATTTAAACTCTTTCATAGATATACTAATTGGGTCGATGGTACAGCGATAGAGTGCTTGTCGACCACGAGAGGTGGTCTGGGGTTCAATTCCCGACCAACGCACTCATTTATCTTGCTAAGCCAGTAATAAGACTGGTAATGAGAGAAGGTTGGGTGTGGGGTTAGCAACCCCATCCTGTAAAAGGAATCCCCACTGCTACAGAAACTTCAAGCCTCCAGCTTGAAGCCCTATGTTCACCTGGCAACGTGAAGGAATAGATATACTAGGCTCCGTCTGATTAGTGTTTTTACGCATCAGTTTTGTCAATGGTTTGTTTGGTACTCACTACAAGTTTTAATGAGCAGTAGAGTTTTGTAACGTGTGGTCTTTATAGACACATGCACTCATTTATTCACTTAGGATAGCTTAAATTCATTTAACTGTAATGTCAGGTTTGATTTACATTTCAGGTTATGTTGTTAGTTGATTCAATGAAACAAGATTATGAGCGTTCTAAATTGCCTGCTCCAAAATCAATCAAACACTACAATCAAGTTGTGAATGAAGAAGAAGTAGAAGCTGGTAAGACTGTATTCAACGAAATGTCAAATGATGATAACAAATTGGATTCTGAACAATTATGCCTAGCTAGTGCTTATTGTGGTCTTTGGTCTGGACTCCTATGCAAGCGGTCAGATATGTCACAAGAAGAAACTCTTCAAGATCTGCCTGAATTTGAAGATTTATCCGGCAAACGACTGCATTATGTTCGACTGGCTCAAGCTAAATTCAAACGACCTGTTGTAACGAACTCAAATTTTAGGATAGTAAAATTACCAGATGATATAACGCCTGAGACGTCAACAAACACCAACTCTACACGACATAATACTATGAAAGACGTCAATTCATCATATGGGAAGATAAACTTAGAAAATGATTGGAAAGGATCTCTGGATGACTTGGTGGTTTCTAATGAATCATCTGCTTCTTCACTTTTATTCTCTCGTGAATGGTTTAAAAAAACTCTGTGGAAAGATAGACAGCCTGAAAAATCATGAGTCGATTATATTCTTATATACTTCCATCATTCCAAAGAAATGATATATATTTTTTGTAAACGACAATCATTACTATCTTAGAGAAATACAGCATTTATACAGCAAAGAATATACAATATGTAAATTGTACTTCAGCATTTGCAAAAAAAGTTTCTTTTTTATTAAAATAATGCGTAAAAAAATAATTTCAAGAACGCATTTTACCTAGTCTCTGTTCACAGTTCCCTATATTTATTATTATTATTTATTGTTCCCTTGGGTTCCCACTAGAACATAGGGCTTCAACTGCACGTCTCCACTTGCTTCTGTCTTCTGCTGTACTTTCCACCTGCATCCATGTTAGTCCATACTGACTGCTTCAACTCCTCTTCACACGATCCCCTCCATGTCAATGCCTTAGACGCCCCAGTAGTCGCTTCCCTTTCGGGTTCCACTGGAGGGCTTGACGCGTGATGTCACCCAGTAGCCTCCTCAGTGAGTGTCCAACCCATCTACACTTTCTCCTCCATATTTGTTGGTTGGCGATCGCTTCTTTTACTTGTTTTGTTTGTTCCCATAATTCCTCGTTGGTGATTCTTTCCGGCCCGGCCATCTGACCTTCAGTATAAATCCAGCGAAGACAGTTGTCGGTTTATAAAGGTAACGTCTGCAACAGGCTGTTGGAAATACCTGTTCTTTGTTACCCACCCGCCAAGCTTCTGATCCGTATAGAATAGCTGACTGACTTGATGTTGTTTGTATTGAAAATCCGACCGAATTTTGTTGTTGATTCCGGCTGAGTGACGAAGATTTCCAGATTGGTTTCAGGTCAATGAATGTGTTTCTTGCTCGCCTTCCCGATTCTCACTCGATTTGACATCTTCATCCGTTCCGACTGCATGTAGTTGAGGCAATGCTCCCTAGATAAGTGGTGAATGAAGTAACCTCTTTCGAATCCCTCCCGTTGATGGTGATTGTCGCTGAATGTTGTTGTTGCTGTTGTTATTGATTGGTTATTTTCATAACCTCCGTCTTTTCTGTGTTCACTTGGAGTCCTGTCCCCGCCGGCTGCTTCTTCGACCAGTTTGTCAGTTTTCGCTTGTAATTCTTCGATTTTGTGACAGTGACATCAAACATAAATCATCCACGCGCGAAATCCAGGTCTTCTACACAATTCTCTTTAATATATAAAAAAACTAGTAAATAATTCACTTTGTAAGATCGAGTTTGTTTAGCATGATTCAGCTCTCACGTTGTATGTTTTCTAAAGGGTGAAAGTGATTCAAGCTTATAAAGATTTAAAGGAGACTGGAATTTATCCGTGCTAGTTTATCGTCTCTTGTTTTGAAGACGGAAGTTGTATGTAATATATTGTCTCCATTCAATACCATACAATGTCTTCAAAATAGAAAAAAAATTATCACGGTGAAAACATTTCCGTTACAATGGATTACAACTGTTTCTTTCTTTTGTGATATTTTTTCCTTAATACATACTATTAACATACAACATTTAAAAAGGGTTAGTGTTGGATATAATTGAAAATGTTTAGACACATCTGAATATAACGCATACCAGAGAAATAATATAGATCTCATACCTGATAAGCATGAGTTATGTGACACTATGCTTAATGCTAAATAAAATACTGAAATGAAAGACTAAGTAGTTTAGCGAAGATTCTTTTATCAGAAGTTCACTTGTACATCTGCACAGTTGCATCTATGTATCATTTTTAGGAACACAATTAAGATGAACAGATAAAAGTAGTCACCTAATGGTGACAACAAACGAACAACTTTAATTATTGAAGAATAATCAAAATATAAGGAATACTAGTTAGTTATTTGATTCGACTTAGATTTTCCTATCGATTGTAGCTACATCCAGATGAAAAGTCCCAAATAGGACGAAATGCGCATCCTTGATTCCACTGCTAGTCACCATCAACTAATTGACTTCAAAATACTTGTTGATTTCAACAATCTACTCTGTGAATAATTCCATTCATTTAGACAGTCCTTCTAGATATGCACATCATGTTCAACATTTACACTGCTTTACATGTATTCAAACAATCATATGATAACAGTCGGTTGTTCGATGATATGCGAAAAGTTCGGTTTCCGTTACCAACCAAAACATTTCAAAACTCCGCCTAATTTACTAACCGACAGTAATCTGGGATAATACGGAAGGTTGGGCGTAAGGCAAACATTTCCCAAGGCATAGAAACGATACCAACTTGACGCCTCATGTTTGACTTGAAAAGTTAAGAGTTTGAAAAACAGTTGTAATATTTTTAGTTGACAGAACAAGGCCATAAAATGTGATATTAAATTTTTAATAGGTTTCGATTTGAAACAGAAGAAAAGATACTTCTACTTCTTTGAAACAAAACTGGTCAGTTTTACTAAGACTTTTATAATACATTTATTGCTTTGTGTCTATTAACTAGTGTTCATCTTCCAAAAACTTACTCCTTCCTCTTCTCATTTCTGTTTGATACATATTTATCGATTTCAAAAGTTGACGCGACTACAATTTTCTACAAGTGGAAAAACTTTGAACAAAATATTATAGACAAACTAAATAGTATTCTATTGAATTAAAAGTCAACCTGAACGAAGAGTATTCTTTTCAATAATTTCTCTTCAGGTTCTCACAATTATAAAATATAATATTTGTGGTCGTTACAATAAAGGCCAGTTATGCGGCGGATACATTTTTAACGTAGATTAACAGATTAGTTATGGGGTGTCCAAATAAATAGTCGTATTTATGTGACAAACGTGCTAGGCTGAAATCGATTACCAAAGTATTGTAAAACGGGAGACAACGGTGGTGATTAATCATAATACATTTGTAGAGTGTGGGGTAGGAAAATTGACAAATCAGTTCAAGTTTATAGAAGGTGTCAGGTGAGTGGCTAGTACAAAATGGTCTGTGTTAAACAGGAGACAGTAAGACTGCAATGAGAGGTTCATAATGAGATAACGAATACGTTAAATGAAACAGATGGAGGCATATATTGAGAAATTAGATAATATCACTAATAATAAGTCCGGATAGTATAAATGAAAAATTCGGTAGTGTTGAGCATAAATTATGACGAATAATAATAACTGTAATAATAATATTTATAATAATAAGCAAAGTAAAAAAAACCAAGAGGGTTAAGGGGAGGGAGCACTCTTGGTGAGAAGGAAAATCATCAATCCAAGTTTGGCGACGGTAGAAACAGCGTCTGGACGTGTTCTTTTTGGATACAAAGTTCCGGTTTACTCGATCTCATTACAACAGCTTCAGCTATGTATGGGAGACGTGAGTGAGCTGTACGTGATAACGACTTCGGAATTCGGTATATAACCCTGAAAGCTGTGTTGACATCGATACGATGGCCAGTATCGACCAAGTGTGACAGGATGGAGCATTTTATGCACTTAATTTCCCCCCTGCTGAACCAAGCTGGTAAATGTTCTCGAACCCATAGACGAACCTGCCTAATCGTGCGCCCTATATAACTTGAACCACAGGAACAGTTGAAATGGTATATTCATGAAGAAAGGCTAAGGTTAGGTAAGACATCTATGAGTTTCTGGGTGAACATTGGACGGCTACTGAAGGATAGACACAGATGTGCAGAGTAGAAAGTTTTCTTGATCGCCCTGGCTAAACGTTGCGATAGAATCTCTTCAAGAATACCTCCCTTGAATTGGAGACGCAAAAACAGAGGCTTTTTCTCCACCGATGCCAGTATGTTATTGCTTAGAAACATGAAGACATACGCAAAGTTTTGTTGAGTGCGCTTCACTGATCTCCAGTGTCTGATCCCTAACAAACTGCAAACGACTGAGTTGACTTCTATTCATGGACTGGATGTTGTTTGTTGTTTTTTGCTTCACTTTATTTTTAGTGAAACGGATATTTAAGATAGTAAATCTAACATTATTTCACCTGTACTCTGTATTGTTTTGAAATTCTGTTTCTAATCTATTCCACCGTAAAATAAACAAACAGTGGAAAGTAGGATGCTCATATACATTATAGGACGCGTACAGCTTATAGATGGCGTCTTCACAGCAGTGAATTTTTATTGCCATTTGATCAAAGATTCTTGAAAACATAACCTTCTATACTAGTTTAGGCGTTATCTATACTTCATGCTCAAGGGAAGTGAATCATTTTAAGCGTAGTGAACAGCAGATTGAAAGTCACTCGGTTTTATTCCAATCAATGTTCTTTCAATGCAAATACGTCTCCTAATACTGCCTGGCTATAATAGCTCTGGATATTTGCTGAATGATATATTTATTTATAATGTCACTCTAACTTCGATTAGTGCGTCGGTGGTACAGCGGTTAGGACGCCCACCGCCCATGCACATGGTCCGGGGTGAGATTCCCGTCCGACGTACTCCTTTACCTCGCTAAGCCAGTAGTAAGACTGGTAGAGGGGGAAGGTTGAGCATGAGGCCAGTAACCCCATCTCATAAAAACAAACAACACTGCGACCGAAACTTCAAGCCACAAGCCTGAAGCCCTATGTTCCACTGGGAACGTAAAGGAATTAAAAAAACTTCGATTGTTGCACAATCTGTGTGAGTTAACTTCAAACTTTTGAGTCTTCAACATTGTAATCAAGCTGAAATAAAGTTTACTGTTCCATAGATGCAATACATAGGCAGATAAAAACTCAAGTAACATCTAGACTCATAAACTGGTGTTTTTACGCAACTGACCAAAGTTTAGTGATAGAGCACCCATCAAACTCACACATGTTCTGTATTCAAGTTGCGGCTGATGCAGTCTTAAGCCTCGTTTAGCCTGCATTATGCGCGGCAAAGAAGAAAGGTTGGGTGTTAGGCGAGAAAACCCACCCCATAAAAAACGCCATCACTACTGAAGCTTAAGTGCCTAAAACCTGAATCCTTATGTTTATTTTGGAATGCAAATAAATCGAAAAAGTACAAATAACAAACTGAAAACTCTCAAAAAATTCATGTATGTTTACACTGATCTATCATTAGTGAGTAATTAATGGCGCTCACCTAGTCCTTGCTGTTCTTGCAAACTGAACTCCATCAGTAAACTTTGCGACATGATTGCAAAGTTAGGTGACTCACCAACACTGTGCACTCTGAACTGATGCTAGGTAGCTGGAAAAAATTGGGAGGAAACCCTGAACCTAGCTGTTGCGCTAGTTGTCAGTTGTCAGTGGGACGAATATGCAACCTTAAAGAAAATCACGTCTCCTCTGAGATTCAAACTCAAACATCAATGTATAGTGCTCCGCGACGGCAAACCCCTAGCGTTGTGACCATAACACAAACTTGACTTATAGAACTTAGTTGATACCAACACCAAGGACTAAATATATGCTCACTACTGACCAACCAATGTATCCACTTCAGTCCTACAGAAGATCACCTATGAGCACAAATAGCTCAGCAGTAATGTCTTTGATTGCAGCACTTGGCGGTGCAGATAAGAGTCACAAAGGAGGCTTCAATTCCTTCAAGGTTTCAAATACACCTTACTGACAATAGCAAGCATGCAAGAAACCTGGATTCCACGTTTTTTCCTGACTGCCTCCAACCACCTAACATTCGTCTGTTTTAAAATGAAAATGAAATCCTAACCGCCACTTGACAAGCTGTCATATAACTACTTTTGTAGGAGACTTTATAGCGAGCTCGGTAACAAAACTAGTATTCGACTAAAAATCCAAGTAAATGAACTGACAGTGTAACAGTGTATTATAAAAATACAGTATTGAATAAAATAAATTAATTAGTCACCTGGTTATACAGTTAAAGTCCGTCGCTACAAACTTTTAATATAATCCACAATAGTGTTAACTGTTGAAGTTGTGTATACTAGTAGAAGCTGTGCACCGGTTGTAGAATATTTTTCGAGTGAGGATAAGAGGATCCTGCAAAGTTCAAAGTACACAACATGGTTGCTAGTGGAGCTAGTAGATAGTATAGACTAGTGAGTAAATGAAATGACGAGCAGCACACTGTATTTTTAGATTGTCTTACACATTTTTCCAATGTTCAACATGAATCGTTTTGAACAAAAGTTGCGTATAGTGTTTCTAAATGCAGTATCTAACAAAAACAGTGTTCAATAGTATTGTGACAGGCTCTGAGCTTTAATAGGAAAGAGCAAATGGCATCAAACATTTATTTTACAGGTCAAACAACCAGATAAAACCACTCAGCTTTAAAATGAAAACTAGAATATCGACCTAACAGAGTCACATTTATTTCATGCCCAACGGAATAATTCATTGATAAACTTTCTTTCCATCTCAGCATTTTGAATAATCTGATAGCATACGTAATTACCCGAAAAAAATAAGTAAGAGCAAAAAAGCTGGAAGATGCAATTAGTTCGGATAGGCATGAGGATCAATAAAGCAAAATCTCCAAAATATAGTATATCAGCCCTGTTCTCATAGATGAAATAACCAAGTACGTTGTAATGTTAGGGCTAAAATCGTCTAAATTTTTACCTGTCATTCCTGAAAGATATGTCATGAGTATTTTTACTATTACTCTGCGTATTTATTAGACAGAATCTATATCTGTTTATGTCCATTTCCTTTACTAATGTAGCTATCTACACAGAGTTTGTATAATTGTATGATTAGCCTTAAATAATTGTTTCAGTTTCATGTGACGACTGGAGTTGTTTTAAAGCTTTACTGTTGGATACAGCTCACCACTTCTCTAATAATCACTGAAAGTGGAATCGCATTTAACCTATTGAAATTTCTACTGTAAAATCTGATAAAACCACTGTGAAAATTAAGAAAGTGTTAGAATAGTTCAATATTAGTAAAAAGTGACTACAAATGCGAATAGCGTCGGTGGCATAGCGGTTAGGACTCTCACCGACCATGGACATGGTCCGGTGTTTGGTCCCCGACCGACGCTCTCCTTTACCTCACCAAGCCAGCAATAGAGCTGATAAATTAGAGAAGGTTAGGCATGAGGCTAGCAACCCCATCCTGTAAAAATAAACGCTGCTACAGAAACTTCAAGCCTACTAGCTTGAAGCCCTATGTTCCACTGGGAACGTGAAGGAAAAAAGCAAGTAAAAAAATAGAAATGCGAATATGTATCTCCTTTTCGTGACACAAACAGTCTTACTCAGAGTTATTCGCCAGAAAATATTCCTGATTTCTTCAGATTACAAAACGTCAGTCATCATAACGTTTCTCAATTTTATTTTCACAGACTAACTGATAAAGCACATTACGTTTGTATACGAAAGTCGATATCTCAAGGCTAACATTTCTGTCAGAAAGACAGTATTAGTATATATGAAGTATATTTAGGTTTTTTAACAGCAGATAACTGTGGGTAACACACTAATAATTCATCTGAAACCTTGATTTAAGTTACCTCACCTTTGAAGAAGAAATGCTGATAATAATCAAATCACACGGAGGACTCTAAGCTGCTTAACGTCAACATGTAAGTCGCTGACGTGTGTAGAATAAAAAGAAAATTATCCATCTTCCCTTCAAGACGAACCAACAAAGTAGGCTAATTTTTAAATGATTTACATGAACCATATAGTACCCTAACTTCTACTGCTTTTGTTACCAGTACTAAAAGTGAACTCCTGTGAGGTGTTTATTCAAATTGCTTAAGCGAATATCTACAGATAACTCTCTAGATAAAG